CAGGTTCGATTCCCGCACGAGGCAGAAACAAATGGGCAAAGTTTCTTTCACCCTGAATGCCCCTGTTACCTAGCAGTAAATAGGTACCTGGGAGTTAGTCAGCTGTCACGGGCTGCTTCCTGGGTGTGTGTGTGTGTGTGTGTGTGGTGTGGGATAAAAAAAAAAAGTTAGTAAACAGTTGATTGACAGTTGAGAGGCGGACCGAAAGAGCAAAGCTCAACCCCCACAAACACAACTAGGTGAGTACAACTAGGTGAATACACACACACACACGGAAGATTTCCTGAGACCTGGAACTTCAAGAACAAGAGGTCATAGATTTAAACTAGCTAAACACAGATGCCGAAGAAATATAAGAAAATTCACTTTCGCAAACAGAGTGGTAGACGGTTGGAACAAATTAGATTAGAAGGTGGTGGAGGCCAAGACCGTCAGTAGTTTCAAAGCGTTATATGACAAAGAGTGCTGGGAAGACGGGACACCACGAGCGTAGCTCTCATCCTGTAACTACACTTGGTTAATTACACACACACACACACACACGTCCCCTATCCAGCCAGTGTGACTGAGGGTCTTACACACTTCTCAACATACTTGTGTGTATACATACACATGAAGAGTGTATGCAGGGAAGCGACTTATAGTTAGGTCTGGCACGGTACTTTAATACTCACCTGGCAAGTTAACCTCACCGGGCTCTAGCTCCTGACTCCAGCATTTCAATATATTACCCGTTTGATATCGCAAATCAATGTATTTTATTCATAAAGCTGATCCCACTTACGTTTGAACTGCGTACAATTCTTACGCTTACGCAGCCCTTCCTGCAACCTGTCCACATGACATAATGCGCCGTAATACTGACGCGCTGGCCTCGATAGCTTGGCTGGATTATCTGGTTTGTACGCTTCTGGTTTGGCTAAACCATTAAAGATGTACCGTTCCCCCTGGTCGGTAAATGCAAACACATTGTACGCGCCTGAATATTGCAAACATATACACATTATACGCTCTGTTGGGAGGGGGTGGGGGCGAAGGACGCAAATTGCACACACAGTATAGGGGGAGGATGGGAAGTAAAAGCATATATACGCTCGTCACAGGTCTAACATATATTTACATCCATGATGGATGAAAAGTATTTTCTCCTTGTACCGTCATTAGACTTACTAACTATACTATACTAAAAATATACGTCATCATTGTTTAATATGACTGCGGACCTAATATGTCCTTCAACCTCAGTTCAGAAGGTCATACAAGGCCATTTACCGATCTTCCGTGTGTTGGTCCAACTGA